AAGCCGCCGACGGCCATCCGTCACTCCTGTCCAAGCCAGCCTCCTTCTTTGCTTGTGTTTTTCTTGGGGAGCTCAGCACAACGCTGTGGCTGCTCTCGGGAGACAGCCCCAGACAGGAGCGTGCCTTGTTCTCTCTCCTCGTGCCTAGCAGTCCCAGCCTTAATAAACCACGTCTCCCTCTCCATCTGAAAGACAAACGATGGCGGAGAGGTGGGGGGCAGAGCGGGGGCGGTGGCCACCATCACTGAGATGCACAGAGTCTGCTCGTGCAAATTGAGAGACAGAGACAGAGAGACCAGGAGAGGCGTGCCATGGTCCTAGACCGGCAGATGAAGATCTATCAGACATTTCAGATTTCTAAAGCCGGCCTGGGACCATGCGCTCCTCAGAGCTGAGCCTGGGGGAGGGGACAGGGTGCAGAAGCCCCGTGGAGTGGCCGGCCTCCCCATAGCACCCCAGGAAATCCAGGCCGGTGCCTGACAGCCTCCTCGGGGGTGAGGGAGGCGCTGGCAGCCCCCGGCTTCTCCCTTCTGGTCCCTCCTGGCCTACCCGCCCCCCTCCTCCCCTCCCCAGCCCCCCTCCCTCCGCCTTCTCCCAGAGGAGGTGACAGACGGGCCTGTAATTTGGTTCATTCGCTCGACTGAAACAACACCTGCCCCCTCCCATGGGACGCGAGGGTCTCATCCCAAACCAGACCGGAAGCCAGGGCGCTCCAGCCACAGGCAAATGGACCCCCCGGCCAGAGGGCCTCGGGCCTCGCCACGCCACAGACCCAGAAAAGCCCGCAGCCTCCAGTTCAAGCCGCTAGAATGCAAGAAACTTCTGTGTTCAAGTTTCCAATTAAAAAAAAAAAAAAAGCTCAATTAGCTGCTCTTGAAATAAACAGCGTTTCCTTCCAAAGGCCCTGGTGCCCACATGGGGAGAGTCCCAGTGAAACCAGGTGGCTGTGGGTTTGGGGGTGAGGGCCAGATTTGGGGACCTGGGTGGGGCCTGGGGCAGCCTCCTGGTGGTGAAGGTGAAGCCCGGATAGGCACATTTTCTTCCAGAGAGAGCCACTCTCCTTCCTTTCTCCAGTGCAGCCGGTGCAGGGGGCTGACTGCCCGGGCTCCTGTCTGCTTCCCAAAGGCAGATGTGACCTCTTCCCGCCCCCCCTCACGATCAGAACCTCACAGCCCAGGCCTGCGGCTCTCCCCACCCACCCCGCGGCCCCCTTCTCCTGCTGACAGAAAAGCCAAGTCAAAGGAGCCGGGCAACGTGGAGACCAGGCCCAGACTGTGTGAGAGAAAATGTTGTTCTAATTTTCCAATTGCTGTCCCAAACACACACACACACACACACACCAAAACATTTGCCAGCCAGGCACCGGTGGCTCACGCCTGTCATCCCAGCTACTCAGGAGGCTGAGATCTGAGGATCCAGATTTGAAGCCAGCCTGGGCAGAGAAGACAATGAGACCCTTATCTCGAATTGGCCATTAAAAATCCCAAAGTGGAGCACTAGCCCTGAGTGAAAAAGCTCAGGGACAGTGCCTAGGCCCTGAGTTCAAGCTCCAGGACCGGCACAAAAGAAAAAGATAGTTACAAAGCCAGCTGGAGTGTCAGGCATGAGGTGGGCATTAAGGGCCGGCTCACCTGAGTGGCATACAGCGTCCGGTGCCCAGGCTCACTCTGGGCACCCAGGGAGGGCCGCCCTGGCCTCTACCCAGACACGCCCAGCCTGCAGCATCGTCTCCAGAGTGGGAACAAATCTCTTTCTCTGAGAGACTCTAGCCTCGTGGCAGGAGAGGGCAAAGGGACAGCCTAGGCTCCTCTCTGGCTTCCAGTCACCCAGCCTGTGGGCAGAGGCTTCCTCTGCACCCCCAGACAGCTGCCAGAACAGGGGGCACAGCAGTGGTACAGACGAAGGGCATGTGGCACCCAGGCAGACCCCGTCCATGGTCAACTACGGCTCGTGGATGCAGGAGAAAGTCACCCAAGTCATGTCACTCCTCTAAACCTCAACTTCCACATCCGGGAAAGGGAGCCGGGGATGTCCCCCCTGGGAGAACCCCACGAGAAGAGGTGAGCGCAGTGCACGGAGCCCACATGAGGCGCCTTCCTGCTGCTGATACCCAGAGGGCTGGGCTGCACCCAGGATGGCTCAGGCCTGGGACAGGGCCTGCTGCCCACTCCCAGGCCAACTTCTAAAGGAGGAAAACACGTCTCCAGATGGACGCGTTGTTTCTGCAGCAAGGGAGGAGGGAGGCTGGTCCTGGGTGAGGTGCTTGGAGACCCCCCCAGACCTGAGCAGCCTGAGAGTGCGGTATGGAGGTTGGTGGGACTGATGGAAGGACACCGCCCTCCTAGAGGCCCTGGCTCAAGCAGCTGCTGGGGCCTTCCTTGGCCTCCCCTCTGTCCTCGGCTTGACCTCGCTGCTGAGCATTTAGCATCAAGCAAAAGTAAACATGCATTTGCTGGGGACTCTCCTCTCCTCCTTCAGGGCTGGCTCCTGTGCTAGTTTAGCCTCTCCGCCATTGCCTGTCTCAGAGGCCGCTGGATAATTGCTGGTGGTGAGAATGAATGGCGCTGCCGTCCTTACTCACTGCTGTGTCTGCAGACATCTGGGTCCACACTGGCTTCCAGACAGGAGTCAGTCCCCCTCTGCAAAGGTAGAGACACCCAACCATCTTCCTCTCCCGGGGCCCTGGGGCTGTGGAGCTGTGAAGGCCAGCAGGGGCCTTCTGTTTGGGGCAGGGCAGCAAATGCACAGGCCCTTGCAGGCTGTGCTGACCAGTCCAAATTTGGGCTTCACAGAGGAAAGGAGGTCCCAGGGGCCTCCAGGGGTAGACGTTGACTCAGTTTCCTCAGCATGAGAGGAGGGCTAGGTTTCCTATCACTAAACAATGAGGATGTTGTGTAATGGTGCCCTGCCTAGACCTGTGCAGACTTACCACATCACACACACATCCTGCGGACGGCAGGAAACACGAGAAAAGTGGCAAGGCCATCAGTAGATGGGACACACAAGCCACGAGACCATGTGTGGCACTTCTGTGCCCAAACCAGAAATGTGGCGTGCTACTGAGTCACAACTCACAATAGATCTACACACACACATAGGTGCAGATAGATGGAAAATAGATCAATAAATGGATTGATCAATAGATAGATAGACAGACAGACAGACAGATAGTTTGCAGGCTATACCTGAGTTCTGCTGTTTGAATGGGATTTTTTCATCTTATAGCTCTTCATAGATGACCTTCTTCTAGACTTTTACGCTATATTTTTTTCCTTGTTGGTGGGCACATGTCTGCCTCTGTGTGCTGATCAAGGCTTGAGCAGTAGCCAGCGCCCCAGGGAGCTGGGCTTGGACGTGAGGCTTCATGCAGGGCACTTCTGGAGCTTCTATTTCCCACCTCTGACTTGGAGAGGTCGGGTCAGATGGCGCCTCCATTTATTTTTATTTTTTAGAGCAAAGGAACCTAGGGCTTCATGTTACGCAGGCACGAGATGCTGATTTTCCTGGAGGTGGAATGATGCGGGTCCTTGCTACCCCTGGGGAAGGTGTTCCGAGGTGAACCATGCCCAAAAGTAGAAAAACACCCCAACATCTCAACACAGACATAATCCTAGATGAAGGCTTTGATCTCATTTTTACCAGTTTACATCGCCCAAAACATTTCTTCATCAGTCCCCATGCTCTTTACTTTTAGACAGATACTTCAAGTAGAAGTTTTTATATTGGATACGTTTATTTAATATGCAAAACAGCGCACCATTCATGAGATATGAAAAAACTCGTCAGATAGAAACCAGGTTATATCTATTTGCACTACAAAATATTGCATTATATAAAGCAACCGAGACACAAAAAAACCCTGAAAAAGACTAAAATCTTTGGATAGCAGATGTGTTTCCTCCCCACCCACCCCCACTCGTCTCTAAAATACAACTCTTGCTTTAAGAGTTTCACAGCTGAGAATATGAAATGTTTTCAGGCTCTAGACTTCTTTTTGGTGGTCACATAGGAAAGTGGTTCAGAATTTATTATTCTTTTTAGGAAAATAACGTAATTTCCTAAAAGCATCCTGCACACAGACATCACACACACACAGGCACAGAGAGAAGCTACTCTCCATAGGAACAAGTCTGTCAAGTACTTCTTTAAGACGTAACTACAGATAAGAACAACACACACTTCTTTTTAAAAAACTATAAGAGTGACTTGCTAAGTGTTGCCGATCTCACGAGGAAAGAAGCTTTCAAGAACAGACATCTGAATATAGAAAATAGGTTTAGAAACAGGAGGAACTTCTTATACAAGTGCAATAGAATAGAGGTGAAAGGAAGAAAGACCACACGGCAGAATCTCAACACACACGTAGGAAAGCTGGACAGAACTGTTCCACGGGAAGAAGTGTAAACACGTGGGTACAAATAAATTGGCACAGTCTTAAAGTAAAATTATCACCACTCCGAAAAATAAACGTCTGGAAAAAAATACTCTACTCCTTCTAACATAAATAAAAATAGCTCGTCTTCTTCCTAACGGTTCCTATAGGGTTTTTACACGGTTAAGGTCACAAATAGATGGGTTTTCTTTCTATTTTTGGGATATATCAAGGAGCACTTTGCCTGCAAAAGCGATCAATCGTCCAGGGATCCGTTCAGATACGAACTCTCCGGTCGTCTTAGTGTCCAGCCTGGGGTTCCAGCCCCGCCTGGCCGGCTGTCGGGCCGGGGGGGGGGGGGGTCGGGGTCAGGGGTCGGGGGTCGGGGATCGCCCTGCCCCCGCGGCTCCCACCCCACCCGCGACTCGCCTTCGATTTGGATTCTGACCACGGAACGCTGTGCCCGGCTCCATCTTCCTCTCGCTCCTCATCCTCCCTCGGGTTTGTGGATGGACCCCGGACCCGGGGCGTCTCCGGGGGCGGCGGGCCGGGCGCCGGGGGTCCCCCCAGTGCCCGCGCGCCCCGGGCCCTCTCCCCGGGCCCCCGGACCCCGGCCCCGCGGCCCGGCCTACACGTCGAGCACGTGGTTCAGGTAGGAGATGTAGCAGATGGCGAGGCGCAGGATCTCGATCTTGGAGAGCTTCTTGTCGGGCGGCAGCGTGGGCAGCAGCTTGCGCAGCTCGGCGAAGGCCAGGTTGAAGGCCTCCACGCGGATGCGCTCGCGCGTGGCGTGCGCCGAGCGGTACTTGGCCGTGGCGCGGCGGCGGCGCCGCTTCTCCTCCCGGCTCAGCGGCTGCGGGTGCGGGTACAGCGCCGCCCGGACGCCGTCCCGGCCGCCCGCGCCCTCCGCCTCCTCCGCCGGCTCCAGGTCCGACACGCTGCCCAGAGCCTTGGCGTCCGCGCCGCCCGGGGACTCGGGGTCCGAGGGCGCCGAGCCGGGGCGGTCGGAGTCGGCCGCTTGGTCCAGGCTCAGCATCATTTTGGAGGCTGGAGGAGAAGGGGTGGGGGAGAGGTGAGTCTGGGAGGGAGCGCCCGAGACCGGGGTCCCCAGTCCCCCGCGGGCCTCAGCGCCGCGCGGGGACGCAGGGGGGTCGAGGGAACCCCGGCCCGCGCCGCGCCTGGCCGGGGAGCCGGCCTGGAGCCCGCCGAGCCCGGTCTGCGCCCGGCCTGCGCCCCGGCCTGGTGCCCGCCGACCCGGCCCGCGCCGCGCCTGGCCTGGGAGCCGGCCTAGAGCCCGCCAAGCCCCGTCCGCAGCCCGCCGAGCCCGGCCTGCGCCCCGGCCTGGAGCCCGCCGAGCCCGGCCCGCAGCGCCCGCCTTTAGTGCGCACTCGGCCAACCCCAGCACGCCATGCGCGCCCCGCGCCCCGGCCCCTTTCCGATAGCGGACGCCGGGGATGCCGGGGGCCGCGGCCCGCCCGAGCGCCCAGGGCGAAGCAGCTTGGAGCTGCGGCGCCCGAGGGTCCCCGGCCCGGGCGCAGCGGCGGGGGCGGCAGGGCGGAGAGGCTTCCCCGAGCCCCTCGGAAAGAATACGGCGAGGCCCGGGCGCGCGGCTCCTCTGCCGCCAGGATCCCCGCGCCTCGCCGGGGCCGCCGCCGCGGGAGCCGAACAATGCGGCCGCGCGGGGCCGGCCGGGGCCGGCGGGGAGGCCGGGGTCGGGGCTCCGGGGCCGGGCGAGGCGCGGGATGCGCGCCGCCCGTCTCTCCGCCGGGCCCCCGGAGGAGCCGCCGCGCCCCGCGGCCGGCGGACCCCCGGACCTGGCCGACGAACGTCCGCCCGGGCGAGAGCGGGGACCGCGGCGGGCAGGGCGGCTCGGCGGGGCGGCCGTCGGGCGGGATGCGGCGGGCTCGGCTTCCCCCGGGGCCGAACATCCGCGCGCGGTGCGTGCGGTGGAAACCGATGGACGAAAGGGGCCGCCCGCCCCGCGCCCGCCGCCCCGCCGGGAAGCGGACCGAGCGCGGCCGCCGGCGTCTCACCGTGCGCGGGGACGATCCTGCCTCCGGCGGCCTGGAGTTCGGGTCCCCGGGAGCGGGGCCGGGGGGACCCGGGCGGCGGCCCGCGGCGGGCGCTCTCACATCCAGGGGCGGACGCGCGGCCGCCTCGGCTCGGGCGCGGCGCGGGGCCGCGGGACCCCGCACCCGGGGAGCCGGAGCTGCGGGGGCGGCTTACCGCGCCCGGGCCCCGAACGCGTCTCCTCCCTAATCGTGCGGGAACATGTCACGGCGGGGGGGTCAGGGTCGACTGAAAAACCGAACCCGGGCGGAGCAGAGCAAGGGCGGCGGAGGGGCGGCCGGTCCCGCGGCTCTGCGAACAACAAAAGAGATGGCAGCGGTCACCAGCCCAGGCGTCGACGGCGAGGATGGCGAGGACAGAGACGGCGAGGATGGAGACGGCGAGAGGATGGAGACGGTGAGGATGGAGACGGTGAGGATGGAGACGGTGAGGATGGAGATGGAGTGTGAGGATCAAACCCGCGCCCGCCCGCCCCGGTCCCGCTCCCTTCCGCCGCCTCCCGAGCCTAGGCTTTGTCCGGGAGCACAATGCTACCTGCGCCTCTCCTCCCTCCGCGACTGGAAAAACAGTCTCCAGGTCTCCCTGGCCTGGGGTCCCCTCCCACCCACCACCCCACTCTTTACCTGGTGACAGCAGCTCTGTGGTGAGTAGCGGGGGTGGGGGGTGCCTGGGGAAGGGCTGGGGGGAGCCAGCGGCCAGTCTGGGGGTGACAACGAGCGGAGGAGCACGGGGGGAGGCCGGGCCGCGCGCCTGTGGCTTCTGGACTCTCCTGGAGATGGTGGAAAAGATAAAAGCTGAAGGAGGGGGGGGGGGTGGAAAATGTTTCCCCCTAAATTGATATTTAATGGGAAATCCTATTGGACAGGAACCCGGGCACGAGTCACTTAATTGGACTTGACATCTGTCACAGTGTGGGAGTTTTCACAGCCCAAATATTTTAGCAGACAGAGCGGATTCCGGGTGAATCTGTGCCATGAACTAGAACAGCGGAAAGCGGCCAGGACAGAAAGCGCAGGCCGGACGCGGGGCTACGGGGCTGCGGGGCTTGGGGCTGTGGGGCTGTGAGCAGGCTCTTGTTTTCAGATTATTGATGCTCTGTTTAAATGCAAATAAGCAACAGCCTTCGCGATGGGAGAATTCCTCTGGTGTGTCACAAAACCAGCGTGTGTCTCTCATTCACGTTTGGGGAAATGGACACACTCATTGCACAATAAACAAGAAGCCACAATTCACGCAACACAGTCACAGGTACCCTAGCTAACGTTTATTACTGATCACTTACACTGAACGTTTATTAGTGATCACTTACACTTAACGGTTTCAGGAAGCATATTGCTTTTTTTTTTTTAGTAATTCTCCACTGAAAGAACTTACACATTAAGTGATAGGCGGCTTTGAGAACAGAACCGTTGTGTGTGTTTGTGTGTGTGCGTGTGTGTGTGTGTGTGTGTGTGTGTGTGTTTCTCCTGCACCTCCGTGTCTGTTTTCTCCTTAGCTACTCCGTTGAGCTGGAAACAGGACACTCCAGTGTTTGTGACTGCCTGTGCTTTCAGGCATGTTCCCTGGGGGCTCATGGGGGATGGATGCAGAGCACCCCTACCTGAGCATTCCCAAGCTCCCTCCTGGAGGTGGCACACAGATGAATTTGTTTTGTTTTGTTTTTGTCGGTCTTGGGGCTTGAACTCTGCCTGGGCTCTGTCCATCAGCTCTTCAGCTCAAGGCTAGCACTCTACCACTTGAGCCACAACGCCACTTTCGGCTTTTTCTGTGTATGTGGTGCTGAGGAATCGAACCCAGGGTTTCATGCATGCAAAGCAAGCACTCTCCACTGAGCCACCTTTCCAGCCTCGTTTGTTGTTTTTTTTTTTTTAAGTAAGATTTTTGTGAAAATACTGTACAGAGAGGTTTTATTTGTTGTTTTCTAGAGGGACCAGCATACTTTTGCTGTCAATTCAAGATTGTCAATTGCTATTTGTGACCATTTAAATGTTTCATTGGTCAAGCTAAAAGGAAATGAAAGTTGCTATAGCCTTGCGGGGGCCCCCCCCCCCCCCCGCACCTCTCCAGTCCCTAGGGGGTCGCTACTTTCCCTCTCCTGTCCGGTTTGCCCCCAAACTAGATTTTATCATCAGGAAAGGGGCACCAGGCTCCCCCCCCCCAGAGTCCCTCAAGGTTGTCACAAACACAGCTTTTCTTCCTCTGGGAGGTGCCTGGACCGGAAGGGGGTGGGGTAGGAGAGAGGAGGGGTATCTCAGGGGCGAGGGGAGGGCACACAATGCCCACCTGCCCGCCCAGGAGGCCATTGCCCCGGGAAAGGGCAAGGGAAACAGGTGAGTGGTCAGCCCTTCCAGGGCGTGGGGACAGAGGGGGCATGGCTAGGGCCACCCCAGCGCCCCTATCGCACAGGTAGCCACAAGCAGCTGCACCCCACAGGTGTGGCCCATCCCCCCACAGATGCGGCCCCTCCCCCACGCGTGCCCACTGGGTGGTAGAACTAAACCCGAGGGTCAAAAGCCCTGGTGTGTTTACTCATGGGGGTCTGCAAGGGACCCGTGTTGAGGCACCTCCATGTGGGGGTCTCAGGGAGTGTGCACACCCCAATTCAGACAGCCTCATCCTTCGGCCGGCCGTCTGCGAGAATCTAGACACATGGGCTTTCACACCCAGGCTGATGATTCCTCCCCTTCCCCCCCACCCCGGGAAGGAGCACACTCAGATCCCACGCAAGGGACACAGGTGCACACACACGCATGTGCACACACGTGTATACATATGTGCATGGGCACACTGCACATGCATACACATGCACACATAGGCATATGTATGCACACGCACACACAGTCACCCCTCCCCCACCTTAGCCTTTCAAAGCTCCTCTCCCCTACACAGGTGCTCCCTCTATCTGTCTCCTTACGTGCTTCTCTTACCTTGCCATCCAGACTACACCTAGCGCAGAGACTGCCCATCCCAATAGGCTGTGGTGCTTGCAGGAAAGATCTGTGGCTCCTGTCCCCAGCTCTGACGTTCAAATGCAATACACAGTAAGTATCCAGATCACTTATGGTAAGTACTCAGTGCACTGTCAATACTCAGTTCACATATAGTAAGTACAAAGGAACCTAGAACATTTATAGTATGAGAACACTATGACCAAAGATACTATGGTTCCATTTGTATTGTTTTTTTTTTTTTGCTTTATAAAAATGACAGATGTGCCAGGCACTGGTGGCTCACGCCTGTCATCCTAGCTACTCAGGAGGCTAAGATCTGAGGATCATGGTTCAAAGCCAGGTGGGGCAGGAACATCTGTGAGTCTCTTCAATAAACCACCAGAAAACTGGGAAGTGGCGCAGTGGCTCAAGTGGTAGAGTGCTAGCATTGAGCTGAAGAGCTGAGGGACAGCGCCCAGGCCCAGAGTTCAAGTCCCATGACTAACCAAAAAAATTTAAAAAAAAAAAAAAAAAGGCAGATGCCATGCACCTCTGGCTCCTGCCTGTAATCCTGGCTACACAGGAGGCTGCGGTCTGAGGATGAAGATTCAAAGCCAGCGTGGGCAGGAAAGTCTGTGAGACTCTTATCTCTCCAGTTAACAAGCAAAAAGCTGGAGGTGGATCTGTGGCTCAAATGGTAGAGCGCCAGCCTTGAGTGAGAAAGCGAAGCAAGAGCAGGAGGCCTGAGTTCAAGCCCCAGTACTAGCACAAAAACAAAAGATCTGTGCCAGACACAGGAGGACCCCCTGCTGGGGCTGACATAAGCAGGGCGGAAATGCCCGCCCTGGGCAGGGAGGGGACAGCGTGGAGGAGGCATGGAAGCTGCTCAGACCCTGCGCGGGGCTTTCCAGGCATGCTCGGAGCTGGAAGCACGTGGCTGTTCTGTTGTTCAATCAACTGTCAGCAGCAGCCTGGAAAAGGCAAAACAATTCATTTCACAATTTTCCTTCATCTTCTCTATCAAGGAAAATGATCTTCA